TTCTCATATTATCATAGCTGGTGTTTCAATTGGTTAGAATAACATGGCATTCACCAAGCACTGCAGTGAGAATAGACAAGGGTTCTCCATTGGAAACAGCTTTACAACAGAGTTTAGTGGGACCAAGGAACATACAGATAGCTATAAAACAGCCATAGTCAATTCAAAAGATGATAGTGGGACATTTACATGAAAATGAACATTGAAATACGCCCAAACAATCTGTAATAGCTGTAAACACAGCACTGACAATAAAGTGAACAACAGGATGAGTATTTTATTGCTGTGAAGGCTCCTATTTCCTTGGCACGATCGGACTAGGAAAGATGCTTCCAATTGACCATTTGCATCCAAAATCTGGACTATGGACGGTATTACATTTTAGTTACATTAGCTAAGACTTTAACAGAAAGATCCAGGTTGTAAAATATTAGATCATTCCTTAAAGAATGATATAAACCTTGGAGTCAAGTCACTCCCACAAACTCTGATTTTGCGATGTGAAAATGCAGATTACAGCATACATAATGAGAAACATGGCATAAGTACGCACGCAGTGAGGTCACTGACCACGGGCTAGATGACGGCAGAAAACTGCATTTTAAATGTGCTCTTTTGCCCTGCTAACCCATAACCACTGACAACATGTTTGAATTCCACTTTTAACAATTCAATTCCTTGTTTACTCCCTAATACATTCTCCACAAGCCTTAAGATTTATATCATGAAAAAACTAATTGTTACCTATAGTCATTGGCTACTTTTGTACGTGAATAACACACCTGAGGAAATACATAAGACACACTCATACCCACAAACAAACACATGATCCTTTCATACATTTCTCACAAGAATGTGGATATGTAGAGCACTCCAGCTCTCATTAGAGGAAAGACATGGATGGAGTAGGGATTTTATGCACATGCAGGAGACTTGTGCTTACATGAGCAATATTTTACATTTATGCATCATTGTTGAGTCCATAGCATATGGAAGTTCTTCCATATGCTCCAGAACATCCTGACAATAGCCACAATTCATCATATCTGCTGGGATAAATCACAGACAATCCCACCACTGCAATGCCTCTCTGTGGGGACAGCCTCTCCCCTCTCACACCCACCTGATGCTCCGCTTCTCACAGTGCAGTGGAAACAAAACCTTTATTACATTGCTGCTGCAGCTGGCTTGGATAGTGCATAATAAGAAGCTCCCAAAATTCAAGCTCATACCTGCCTGTCATCACCCTTGCCAAGCTTGATATCTGAACTTTTGTACCTCCACACAACACGCTTTAATACTTTAAAAAAGTTGTTAGTTGATCTATTAATCAACAGAAAATGAATCAACAACAATCTTAAAGCTGCACCATCATCATCTCATGTTTACAGTTTGCTTCTATTGTCCCAAAAAATCTACTTTAACAATCAATTATTTCCAGAAATATATCAAGTTAAAACATTTGCAGTTTCCAGCAGCTGAAATGTGAGAGTTTGCAGCTCAAATCTATTATTTCTATTAAGTAATTTAGCAGCTGCCAATCAGGGGATTCAAACAAACAGTAGTGTGCTCCCCAGGGATTACCACCCGTCACCGTGTGTTTTCTCCTGTGGTGTTTACACAAACAAAACACAAAGAGAAAGTCAGTCAAGCACAATTCTCGTGTGTTTGTATTTGTCTGTGTGGAGGGACATGGGAGTGACAGGCAAGGATTTCTTCCAACCAGGACAACACCTAAATACACTTCCTCTTTAAGATATTCTGTGTACACATCAAACACACTGGTAACATCCACATAAACTGACAAGGTGAGGAAGAAAGGGTGGAAAAGAAGTAAATTATGGACAGGAAAGGCAGACAGGATATATGTAAATATACTGTATACTGTATACTATATATTTTCTTTTTTTCTTTTAGGCAAATGTGCTGGAAATAAGTTTTTCCCATTTCCTTTCACCTTAGAAATGTCCATTAAGTTGTATTTTATAATCACTATCACACGTTTACCTGCCAACAAGTCTATGGAAAACACTTTCTAAAAGCAGCAACGTGATACAGCAACTGACATTAACTGATGTGTCAAAACACATCAAACCAATTTAAATAAACTACAAAGTGAAATCATAACGTCATTTTTAAAATGCTGAGTCAGGTCACACCTTGTCTTGAGCCCAGGAGGGGGGCAAGTGTATTTGTTTTCTGTTACAATGTGGAAAGATTTTGTACTGTGCAGGGGGCCAACTGAACCCCTCCCAGAAAAAACACATGAGGCGGAAACACATTTGGTATTTCTAGCTATTTCAACACAAAAAACACTGCAGCACTACAGTGAATCCTCTGCTGGTGGTGTCCAATATCAAACCATGACGACCTCAACTCCAAATATCTTATCTCCACATCCAGATATTTGACTTGACTCAGGATGAGTGAGATTCACTTTCTACAACAACAATCAAACTTTAAATGAGCACTTGGTTTTCTGTCTTTCCAAGCAGCTGGGGGGGGGTACCAAAGCAACATTATTTATATTTTTAAAGTGCACTACCATTGTGTCCTCTTAGATAGATGTACAGCAGGGGGAGAATGACTGGGGGAAAGGGAAGTATCCATAGCACACCTTCGTGGGTGTTCTCAGGCAACTGATTAATGGTTGCAAGACACTGACAGAACAGAAATGTAGAGAATAATATTAGAGCCAATGAAGTGCAAGAAATTTAATTACATATCCCCATCAATAACCCCATAAAACCCCATTAAAAGTGTGGGGGGAGTGAGTGCTGCAGTGAGAGGTGTGGGAGGAAGGAAACACAAAAAGTGTGTGTGTGTGTGGTGTGTGTGTGTTTGTGTGTGTGTGTGTGTGTGTGTGTGTGTGTGTGTGTGTGTGGGGTTCTGACAGCCGCGAGAAAAGACCAATTAACACATAAAACAAACATGCATATGCAAATCCACACTGGCAAAACCTACACAAAAGAGACGCAAAACACCCGGCACTCACCTTACAGCCAATCTCATTTGCAGCAGTGTCACCAGTGTGAAAAGTTACAAACTTACATTTGGTGCCGTTTCTGTCCATTCCTCTGGTGGTGCTGTCCATGTGAGGGAGAGCTGATGAAGTTTAATGCAGGCCCATGAGTGAGTGTGTGAAGGCGTGTGAAGCCACTGCTGCCAGACACGGTCGCTGTGTTGCTGATCCGCTGGTCGGGAGAGTTGAGGCAGGCTGCTTTCTCTGCTGGGTCCTAGCGTCGGCTGCTGCTATGAGCTGCCTATGCAATTAAGAGCTGAATAGAAATGATGACTTCTCAAGTTTTACGAATAGTTTTACCACTTTCAAGCCTGTAGCTTAAGAAGAAATAGCCTTTCTGGAAAGAAGGTGAAACAGTCTGTCCAGAGTAACACAATTCACCTACCAGCTTCCCCGGTGCTTACTAATTAACACTTTATATCTAGTTTGTCTAATTAATATAAAAACCAATGGACAAGTAAAGTTAAGTTAGCTCTTTAACTTTTCTTTCTTCTGCCACTGCCAGACTCATTCTATTGGTTGCCTGGCAACTGCCTTAGGCCAAGAAATGGCATTTTGCTAACTTCTTAAACTTCGGTATTAATGAGGTACAAACATGATATATAACGTTAAGTAAGTTAGCTTTAGAGGTGCTGGTTATATGGATTTTTATTACCTTTAAAAAGACCCCGACTAACGGTTTCCCCGTTTCCAGGCTTTATGCTAAGCTAAGCTGAACTATGTTGGCTGTTGGCTCCATGTTGCATTGCTGTTCAAATGTTTATCACCTTTAATACAGTCAATCACACACACGGCAGTGATATCAGATAAGTTCATTTAACTAAAAAAAAAAGTGTTGAAACTGATTACATCAAATATTTTAAGTAAAACAAACTCAATTTTATAAGTTAAAAATACTTTATCATGTAGCTTTAGTAATTTTAAGTTGCACTGACTTAATATTAAACATTTTATGTGTAAAACAAAATACCTATTAAAAAGTACTTGATCAGGATAGTTTCTGTAACACAAAACTAATTTAGAAGAATCTTTTTAACTGGCTGGCTGCTTGTCTGCATTACAGTGTACAGGACTTTTCATCTGGTGAATATAGCCAGTAATTTCCAAATGTTGAACTATTCCTTTAAGTAAATATTACCCAAGTGGATGGTTCACAACAAATAAAAAAGAGGAGACTGAGTTTTTTTTTCAAGTTTAATTTTTAGTGACAAAATCAAAAATAACAGTATTCAAAGGAAGTAAAGACTTCAACAACCCTGGATCTTTGTGTGTTAAATACCTTGCAGAGTGTTTCATTGTGAGTGAATATAATCTCTGTAGCTACAAAATTATTGGATTATCATTCTAAAAGAAAATAAATTATAGTGAATGTAAATGTATGGATGACTACAGTTCTCGTCCTAAAACATTTAGTCATCATTCTATTGCGATGAGCTGGAAAACATGGAGCAGGAGGGCTGAATTGGTGTTTCCTTTATCTATTTAATCTACTGGATTGCACATTCTTTTAGGTTACCATACAGCTGCAAAGTGAACTGTATCTATTGGTGACCTTTAACTATTTAACCAGAACATTACATGGAAGTGATCTGCTAATCTGTATATTTGCATTCTCACTTTGGTTTTCATTTGCACGCAAATCAACGCAGGTCACGCATACAACTGAAAAAAGTTGTGTCCACCTCAGATTGTTCAATTCTATATCAATTAGTGTAAACCAGAGGGACACAGCATTTCATATGAAAGAGCAAAAAACAAGAAAACAGGTAAACAAAATGCATCCTTATAAACCAAAGCAAAGTAATGTTGTATGCTCACCCACTCACGCTTCTCATCTAATCATTCACCCTGATAAAGTGTCATAAATGATATACTGTATCTACATTCTACTCATTCAGATTGCTGGTGCTGCACACTCGTAACTAAGAGAGCATAACAAATAAGGCAAAGCCAAAATTCTCCTCTTTATGTTTTCGTACCGCGGCTCTGGTCACAGACATCCCCTCATGTGGCCTTTACACAGGCCCAGTCATGCCTTTCCTCCACCTTTCAAGCTTAAGAAAAGCACAACACTACTGTACTACAGTCTCTATTGCTTACACACCACCCCAGCACACAGTAACAGTTTATCAGTCCTTCTGTGCATAATGTCTCTTGTGGCCTTTCCTCGGTATCTCTGAAGTCCACGCTGGTGTGACCAGAATTTGGTTCGTCATATGAGGAGATCTAGAACAGGTTCTCAGCCATGGCAGTGAAACTCAGTAGAAGTCTTCCTATCTCTTTCTTCCCTCCTCCTACAGTCAGTTAAGTTTCTCGCTCTAGTTATGGCAGTATTCAACAGACGTTTATGTGTTATTAAAACAGTCGGGCCTGCTTCTTGAGCTCATTTCTCTTCCACAGAGCCAGCCGGTCAAAATCTTCCACGGTCATGCCGAACACTTGGGAAAACTCCTCTGGGGAAAGGTGGCGCTGAGAACACAAGGATAAAGAGACGACACACAGTTATAATTTGAATCTGTTATTTTTTTTTTACAGTACCCAATTAAGTCTCACATTACTCTAATATACTTTACTTTATTTTACATAAAGAACATCAAGTTTTTTCAAAAAAGACCAATTTTAATTCCACAATCACACACATAATACACATCATAAGGCTGAAAATGAATAAAAATGAAAAACAATGTAGTGCTTTCCACCAGAATAATATACTTGGCACCAGACCATAATGTAAGGAGATACAATTTACAGCAAATATAATCAAACAGTTCAATAGTTTTCATTTTAAATACTAAGAACATTTTACAGAGTTTGGTTGGTGGCCTGTCAGAAGTTTCTGGGTGGAAGACGGGTGGGGTTCTGCTGTGAGTATAACCACAGTATTTCTAAATCTTGGCTAAGGTGCTTTTAACTAACAACAATGGACAACTTCTTCCCAGAACACTTAGCCTAATGGTTCATTCATAACTTACTTCTAGCCTGGCTCTATCTACATCTTTGGGAAGCCTGTTGCGACCTCTGGTGGTGACAATGAGCGCTTCGTAGGGGTAAACCTGCAGAGAGAGAGAGGCAGCCATGCTTTATCAAAGTTCACACACATAGTTACAATAACACTGGGGTTATTCAACATATAGGCAGACTCACATGGCATAATTTATTCAAGTGATTATTTTAAAACCTTACCTTGTATTCTGCTGGGAGGAAAAAGAGAGAGAAAATTAAGTCAGTACATTCGAAAAAGCATCAAAGTAATCGCCTCTATCTAATAATGAGTAGGTGTTTTGAATTCATATTAAATTACCTCTGCTTCCCCAGTTGACCTCGCTACCACTGTCATACTGGTACTGGTAGCAATCTGCACTCTGAGGCTGTATAGACGCACAGCAAGTTATAACATAACATAAACAGATACTGGAATATTTTTAGCCTTGATGATTTTGGTAATAACAACAGTCATATAATATACATATAATATTCAATTTTAAGATGTGAGACCCATCAAAAGTAAGCCCCGGTGTTCACTGTGGTCTCACCCTCTGGATGCCGTTGCGTCCATATCCTGGTAGTGAGGCAGACTTGCAAACAAAATCTAAAACACAGAAAACAGTAAACAGTAAAATATTAATAAAAAGTCAATTTTACAGTTAAGCTTAAACTTCCAATTATTTTCATGTAGTTTGGCACATTGAAATCATATAATCAGTGCCTGGTTACTGCCAGAAGATGGCGCTCATGACCAACCAAAAAAATCCTAAAGTTCCAGATGTGTGCACATAATAGGGGAGCTTTGTTGATGTAAGGTAATTGAATCCAGCACAAACACATAATTTAGAAAACCAATGCCAACCTCCATTCAAAAACTACAAATAAAAACAGCTTTGTTGAATAAACCAGAACCAAAACTGAGGTAGGTAGGTAATATTGAGGTATTCATTTTAGAATATTTATTAAATATAAATGATAAACTCACCACTATCAGCACTGTACTGAGATCGGGGAGCTGTAAAATAAAGGGATAATATAGTTACATGACATCTTTATGGTGCAAAAATACAAACATGCTGTAGTTAATTTACCCTGCTCTAAAATTTTATTTAATTCCTCAAAACATATTCAGGGTTGCTGTAGAGCTTTGACAACCGTCAGTCTAGTTAGAGGCGTAACAAAGAAACACAAAAGGAGCAAGTTGGGTACCCATCAAGCCCTGGGAGGAACACAAAACATCAAAGGGGCAATAAGGCAGAAAGAGGCCAGGCAAGACTGGTTCAGGGAAGAAGGGGAGAAGAAAAAAAACAGACACACATGCACGTTCCACCATCTAATCGCACAACACAGCTTATAGGGTTACAAGCCTTTGTTGCCTTTCAACCACAGCCAACAGATTCCCATTCAGTTGTGTCCCTTCCCATCAGAGAAACAGCTTTAATGAGAGATCTTACTGCTCATAAATAAACCAGGATATGGGACACCAGCTGTGAGAGTAAGAGAGTGAGATAGATACACAGATAGATAGAGAGATGTAGAGTTAACAGAGTAGAATATAGAGAGTGATATCAGGAGAGAGAAAAAAAAAGCTGGTATATGCACACAAATTAAAGAGGGAGATGGTGAAAGAGATGGAGCAAGGAAGTGAAAGGAAGAGGAAACCGGTGGGTAGTGATGAAGACAGGCTGGTGTCGGAATGTCAACGGCCAAAATAACAGTCCCAATGCACTGCGCGACCAGTGAAGCTTGGTCCTTACAAGCAGAAACAACCCAGGTAGCTTCAGGTGCGGCTTTATCACATCTGGCACGTTTGCACACCTGGCTGAACACTTTTCTTTCGGTAGCTTGAAATGTTCAGAATCAGTGTGATACCCCCCGACCACCATGACAGGCCACATCTGCTGCTGCTGCTGCTGCTGCTTCTCTACCATCAGTTCGGCAACAGCTGCTCAGCTAGCTCAACATCTTTCCTTCTCAATAAACCGCCCCGCCTGCAGCAGCCATGACCCTCTCTGACCTGCATTCACAACCTTACCGCCCTCTCCCCCAAACCCAAATGACAGCAGATATTGAGTCCCATAAAAAGCCCTTGTGGCAACATACAGCATATGATCACACTGGGAGGGACAGAGACATGGCTGCACAGGAATACAGTTAGAGGTGCAGGCGTTGGTGAACTTGCAGAAACAAGAGACAAAGAGGGAGATGCGTAGGGGGCAGGGTGGATCCTTACATCCGTTGACAGTGTTGTTGTATGCCGTGGTGCCGTAGCCTGTAGTGTTGAGTGTTTCCTTGCTCCCACAACGAGAATTCCTCGCACTGCCCCAGGGGTCGTTGTCATAGGAACCAGATCTGGCTTTCATCTCCTCCTTTAGGATCATCCTCCCGATGCCACTCCCAATCTGAGAGGGAGCGAGGAAAGAGGCAGAAGGGGGAGAAAAAAGAAAACTGCTAATTTAATGTACAGCAAATGCAAGATGGATAAAAAAAAGAAAAATAAAGAAAAGGACGATAGTTTAGGCACCATAGCATAAAAAGTGCATAATTTATGGGTGTTTCCGAAGAGGTGGCTTTCTTTAACCAGATGTGGAAGAAAGAGAGAAATAAAATAATGAAGCTCTTACTCTTTGAAGACTGTGACTCCAACTCTCTTCATCTCCTCCTGTTGAGAAGCGTCTTCTCGGCATCCGATAGGCTGAGAGAAGGAAACAGATAAAAGAGATTCCCTTGTATGAATATAGAGCGGAGTGGAAGACAGTAACATGGAGGGTGAGTGAATAAATATGACAACACAGAGTTACAAAAGGAAATGTACTTCATTGTCTGTGTTTGGTCCAGTGAAAAAAGAAAAAATGCAGCTTACTATGCAGCTTGCCATTCTAAACTCAGTGAAATGACACTTTTTCCTACCCTTGGGGGAACTGGTGTACGGATAGTAGTCAGACTCTGACTGGGTGTATGGCTCAGGAGAGAAGGTGGACAGTCGGGAGGATCTGAGGATGTCCTCGCTGGTCCTGCTTTTGGTGGCTGCGTCCACATGATTGTCTGTGAAGAAATGGATCAAGTTAGGAAAGAAACAAAAAACAGAACCAAAGTAACTGGTAATTCTGTTAAAGACATTTTGGGGGAACTTTTGGATATATATTCTTATTCACTGCAGTGAATAAAGGGCTGTCCACACCAAGAACAATAACTATGGCAACAATTTGAGCATTCATACAGATGAATGATAATGTTCTGTAAACAATGGCCCCAAGCACTGTGCACTCCAGCTGTATTGGTGGCTTAGGAATATGGATATTGATGAACTGTTATGCTGTTTTGCACAGAGAAACAAAAAGAAAACAAGCTTATGGGGTCACAACAGTTTTTAAAGATGAGAAGGAGACTTTTATTCAGTCTTTTGTATGAGTCATCATCAATTTGCATCAATCATCAAAGGATATGAACTCACTTCAGAGACCACATCAAGACCAACAACTGTTTAACTGTAAAACGCCATTTTTAATGTGCTATTTGCAGCCAAATATTATGTTATAAAAGTGTTTAATAAGTTGTATAGTTGAACGTGACACCCGTAGTGTCATTGTTTCTATTCAAATCGCATTGATACCGTTTGCCTCTGTTATTGTCATTATTGTTGTGTTATGTTCTAAGCAATCCACTTGAGTTAGGTCCATTTTTAAAATCATATATTTACAGCTGTTGTCATAGTTATTATTCTTGGTGTGCAGCACTTTAGATGAAAAGATTGATACCACTGGAGATGTATCAATCTTTTCATCTTGCTCTCGGCAAGACAGTGGATAAGCGGATTTCCCAAAATGACGATAGACTGCACTGTAGTGTGCTACGGAGGAAAATGTGTTAATGCATATCACAAAGATGTACAGCGAGAGAGTCCATTAAGACCACAGTCATCATATCCACCATTCCTGTCACATGAGATCAATATTTCAACAGCATGAAAACAACCAGCATCAACATGAGTTCAGTTACCGCTCAGCCCGAGGCACGCAGTCGTTTCATGAGTGGTGCGAGGTAATGATACTGATGCCACTATGCACTAAAGCACAGTCAATGGAAGTCAATGGGGTGACATGCAGTGTAATGTCAGATAGATCGGTCTTCACTCTGTTAGTCATTAGCCATGCCGGCCCCAATCCATGATCCATTGAATTCCTATATACATGATGCATGACACCAATGGCAGACATTCTCATCTTTGGGAGACACACTTCCAGCTTGACGAAAGGATGAGCTGCTACACTCACAATACTCCGAGCAAAGTTTTACAGCAGATTGAACCTTCTGTCAGAGGAAGTCTGGATATAGAGTATTGACATGGGATGACAAATACAGGAAGAGCGACATATAAGGTACACACACACACACACACACACACACACACACACACAGACATATGCAATTTCTATCTACCGCCAGCGAGTGAAACAGCAAGAGGAGGGAGATACTTACAGTGGCAAGGTCACCGGGTAAAGTGGAGCAGAAGGTGGAGGGAAGTGAATAAAAGTGATTGGATGCAATAAAAAAGAGGTGAAAAGAAAAGGGAAACATTATTGGAGCGTCCCCAAGGGGAGACGTGACAATGTGAGATCTTTGCTACCTATACGGAGAACAAAGACAAAGCCAAACAGGGGTCTGATACAGCTTCTTTTCTATACAGGTAGCAAACTTGTTAACTGAATAGTACATAACAGGCCTTTGACGCACACAGCAACACAACTTCACATGTGTCTGTTGTGGCTTTGGATTTACATCAATCCTGTTTAGTGCTGAAACAAGAGAAAATAATAATCAATAGCTGTTTAGGAAGGCATAAAGTATGAGAAGGATCAGTGTGACTGATGTGTGCTGAATGTCAGTATTCTAACAAGGCAAGCTTAAAGGTTTTTGAACTTGCCTCTTACAGTGCGTAGATGCTGAAATTACTTTGTTCTCCATAAGAAAAAATGTGTCTATGGGTGGAAACATTGTGGCCAGTGATGTACTAAGTATAGCTGAGAAACATAGAAGGGTGAAAGTGTCAATGCACAGGTCGACACAATTTACTAACTCCCCCACAAATATCAACACATACAGTACAGAACAACATGCAGGACAACAACAAAGATAAACTATGCTCCATCAAGAGACCTTAAGTCTTGTGACTCTCAGCTGAAAAAGCCTTTTCCAGTATAATGTGACAAAGGGATAGTGAATCTTTTTCTCATGAATGTTTATACTGAAGAACACTATCCAGATGGCTGAAGTGCATTTCAGTTTAATGACTTGTAAAAAAAGGCAAAAAGAGCATCTTGTGTTAACCGCACTACTGTGCTATTTGACTGAACGACAACATAAATCCACACAATTAAGAAATCAGACTTCCCCTCTCACGTACTCCCTCTGTTTTCTAAATAAAACGAGCACAACAGCTGTCTCCCGATTCATACAGTTACAGTAACTTAAATCACACACCGACCACTGGTTAACTAGCCTAGGCTGAGAAATACAATAAAAAATGTCTCCACAGCAATTCAAAAGTTTTAATACAGTTCTCCATTGTGCTTTGTTCTATTGTTCTGTTATATTCTGGTGAATTGTGTGTCCTCAGAGTCCCATGTACTCAGCACTTGTCATGCTTGAGCAACCTTCACTTCATTCATGGTCTATCCCAGCCCCTTTTCCCTGACAAGAACCTGTCGTGCTGAGAGAACTGCGACCAAGAGGCAGGCATGCGTTTCTGCTTATAGTATGGACACTAGACTTTTACAAATGCAGTCATTCTAATTGCCTGATCTTTATCTTCAATTTTGAAAAGAGTTGTACAAGCAGAACTCTATTTCCTTTGTGCATTTATTAGAGTCAATCCTTTCAATTTATGCGGTTTTGTTACTGCTGGCTTCAATTTCAACGATAACTGGAACATCAATACTAATAAATCACAAGGGGCGGTTGAAAAAACATCAATAGGTCAGTAAAAACATCTACACCGAGTACTCAAGCACAGCATGACTAAACTGACAAGAGGACAGGCAGGCTAAGGCGAGCTAACTGCACTGTACCCGCTCTCGTATAGATGGGAGGCTTCCTGTAGATGTTGGGGTCCCCTGTGGCTGAGGAGAGAAAGAGGAGATGGAGAGGTGAAACATGGAGGAGTAAAGGTGCGAGTTTCAGTTGGGGTGATCAGAGGTAAGAGAGGTAAGAGGAATGGTCATAAAGGAGGGTGAAAGAAGGTAAAGATGCAGTATGAGGGGAAGAATATGCCAGAGCATTTATGTGCGGTATAAAAATACGACTCAGTCACATTTTCACACCCCCCCATTCCCACGGAACTCAAAATGACCTTTGTGAATGATTTGCATCACTGAATAATGTCTGATGAAGTCCTCCCCATGGAGAAAAAATCTATGAGATTATGACAAGTGCGATGAGGAGATGAGGAGTCCTACCTGGCACATGAAAATGTTTAGGGGGCTGGATTTTGGTGGGTGTGCTTGACCGCCCCTCTTGGCCGTAATAAGGTGAACTCCTGCCACTCTCAGAGCCTGCAGCCAGTCACAGCCAATCACAGCAAAGGAAACATGGGCATGAAGGAAGTCAACACAAGTCTCATCCATGCAGATGAAAACCAAAACCTAAAGCCTAAACATTCATTCAAATTACAAAGTGACCTTTTCCACGTGTGTTATGACAAAGGTTATTTACTTGTCTTCTTATGACAGTAATTACAGTGTCACTGCACATGTGTAAGAGTTAAATGAAATGACAGCAAAGGAGCAACTGCAGCAAATGAGACAGCCAAAGTGTCAGGCGTTCTACCCTAAGGCAGCAAATCTGTAAATGTTTTGTCACCACTGATAATCTATGATGGCTTATTTGTTTAAATTTAGTGGTGATGACATACAAATGGAAATGACAAGCAGTTTGATCTCTCTTAAAGGAACAGTTCAACAACTGCAATTACAATTGAAAAATGCTTATTCATTTTTTGCCAAGAGTTAGATGAGAAGATTAAAATCAACTCTTATCTATGCTAAATATGTAGGTACAACCAGGTGTTGTAGGTTAGCTCAGCATAAAGACTGGAAAATGGGAAAACAGCTGGTTAAAATCCTGACCAGCACCTGTAAAGCTTACTAATTAATATGTGATATCTCAAGAGTTATATGTGGGACGATTCCTTGGACAGGAGCTGAAGTCTCCACTGCTCACCTCATGGTGAAGATAAGTTCCTGGTACATGTGACCTTCGGACATAGCCAGCCAAGCAGCTTCCCGATCTCTTTGAGCTATGCTAAGCTAAGCTAACCAACTGCTTGCTGAACAAAGACATATTAAATTGCTATTATTATCGATCTTGTCATCTGAACATCAGCATGAAATCAAATAAGCATATTCCCTAAATTGTTGAACTATTCCTTTAAACGACTTAACCTCAAAATTAAAAAATTACTCAGAAACTACATAAGTACTTCAATTCTGTTCAAAGTGCATTTCATATTAATTATTTCACCGCATGACTGACCTAATTTCATATTTAAGGTGAGCTGACAACTAGGAGTGAATACCACCTGACTCACCAGGGTAGCCATAGTGCTGCGGAGAGCGAGGCATGATAGGTGACATGCCTTGACGACTATACGTCGGTGAGTCAATATAACCTGGACTGGAGCATCGCCTCTGCCTTATATCCAGGCTGTCATAGTCCTGAAAAGACAAATGAGACAAAGTAGGGGTGAAAGAAGAACAGGGAGGAACAGGGAGAGGACTAGCCTAGTAAAATGAAAATGACAACGTTTCACTCACATCAAACTTGTGTCAAACAAAGTGCTCTGCTACTTAGGGAGGGAGGAAGAATGCTTACCTGAGAATAGGGAGAGAGTGTCCCGAGTGACTACAGAATCGTGGGGGAGAAAAGAGTTAATATTTATACAGAGGCACCGTGGTGAAACAAAAAACAGTAGATCATATATCATGTATTTACAGGACCACAAGAAAAGACCAGTCCTTTCAATCGGTGAGGTTTTCTGCATTATTTTACAGTCAGCTCAAGGGATATAAAACCGTCGATTAAATGTTTTTATGACCACTTAGATATAATGTGGATATTTGTTGTTATTAACAGTTTTCTTGTTTTGTTTTGTTCCCTTTGTTTTTGATTTTTAATTGTTTGACACAATGATTCAATGTTTACTTATGTGGAGCCCAGGAAGAGTAGTTGCTTATTAATTTCCAAATGAGTAAATAAAGGCAGATTTGAGGATGGTGTTGTTCTTCTCATCTAACTCTCAGCAAAAAATCAATAAATACATGTATTAAGTATGGTCCATTTATAATATCCATTCAGGATTGAATGTGAATTGTCCGTTCTAGGCAGTGATATCCACCAATCTGTCACTTCACACAAATACTACACAATATTCACAAATACGTAGGGCTCATCATTTTTGAAGAAAAGGGAAAAAAATCCTCAGGAGTTTTTGTTTTTTGAAGTTTAGTTAAAAATGATTTTCATCTTCATTTTATCTCCCCATGCATCCAGAAAGTATGTTTTACAGTAAACAAGGTGCTCTTGTGATTCCCTTGTTGTCAGTAAAAGAAAAACAATTAACTTGTGCTCTGAAAATGCTATTTTTAAATCAAATTTCCATTTTTGTGATAACATTTCAATTATGAAAATAATGAGCCCTACAAATAGTATATGGCTTCTTATCAGCACAGATCCATCTAAAAACTAAACAAAGTGTTGTCTCTGAAAACAGACCAGTGATGAGACCAATGTTAAGTTTGGCCTGGAGTGTGTAGCAGTAGTACCTCCCCATAGCTGTAAGTGTCTAGCCTGTCATCAGAGGTGTATCTGTGGTAGGGCTGGTATGAGGAGGATATGAGGTCTGGCTGTTGGACCTCATATATGGCCTTGACCTTTGGCAGGGCAGCTAGGTCCTTATAATCTAGGAACTCATTCTTCACTCTGGCCTGGAGAGAGGACACACACATACACCCACAAAGACAACAGCAACAAGACCCAACATCAACCACATGGACAACCTCACAGTTACAAAGTAGAATGGAAACAACACCAGTGACAATGAGCAGATCATGCTGCGATGAGACCAGGTGAAAAAGAGCTGATGAAGCACACACAAGCCTGCACATACACATATGAGTGTGTGCGCTAATCAAGAGTACACATGTACGCTGCAGAATCTGACAGCAGCGTAAGTTGTTGACCTTCAGGAGCTCAGCATGTGTGAGAAAGAGAGCAGAGGAAGCAAAGAGAAGGAGAGGGAGAGGAGACAGTATGGACGACAAGCGTGCTTACGCTGCATTTCTCCCTCATCCATCACCTTAAACAGAAAGGTCATTGATTATGAGACGAGAGCACAGCGGGGCAGGGCTGAGCAGAGAGCGGTGACTCCTGCTTGCATGCAGACAACCCTTGACATGCTAATACTGCCAACATGCAGCAACACTCATCAGACTGCAAAGCAGCACAGTTGGAACTGGTCCAACTCTGCGATGTACAGAGCGACAACCTTCACACAAACCTGGTGTGCTCCCCAACTAGGCTCCATATAGTTTCATGTATGTCTATATATATTTCTTTGGTTTTTTTGGCCAACCAAGAAGGACTGATTTGGTGATTTGTACGTCAAAATATGTCTATGTTAAAACTAAGATCAATTTGGTTGAAATAGGAAAGTTTATGTAGATTAAAGTTAAACTGAACCGTTTTTTCACATTTTCAAATTCAAGGTTCCCTGCTTTGTTAAAGTACTAAAAATAAAAGAGCCTTTAATACTGTGGCTTCATAATTATAAACAATACCAACATATATACACCACATAGCTGTCATCCTTTCACCGCTTCACTTCACCGCTAATGACAAGGTGCTTAGGGAAGTTGTTGGTCATCGTACAATAATTTGTTTTTGTTTTAGCACTTTAATGAAGCACTTTATGTGCCTTGAGTTTTTGGGGTTTCATTACTGAACAGTATTAAGCCTACATACAGACTACACAATTAGGAATACCTCCTTTGTAACCGAGAAGTCTAAACAGCCATGCCAGTGGCTCTCTGAGGCTGTATTTAGGTACAGCGGTGCTCTGAGCTAAATGCTAACATCAGTATGCTAACATACTCAAATACCTTAAAATCTGAATAATAACATTCTTATGTTTAGTAGGTAATGTTCACCATGTACACCATTATAGTGTAGTGTCTACATAAAAGTCAATCGATCATCAAAGTCACTGGGATTCATCCTCTGGGCACCTTGAATATCTGTACAAAATGTTGTAGATGTAGATATATTTCCCTGGATGTTTGATAACTTTGACCTGATGTAGGATTGAATGAATGTTTGTGTAAGATTTTAATGGCCATCCATCAAATAGCTGTTGTCAGAGCCACGATGCTAGTGTTGCTGAAAGGTTTACATCCAAATGCCCAGTTTTAACCGACATGTCTGGATATTTTTCAACGTGCCAATCACCATATCAGTCATTTCTGGGAACTACTGACTGAAGATGTACCTGTAGATGTTCCTCCTCCCACATCACTAATGATGACAGAAGTTAGGACACAGACGAAGTGAACAGGCCAAGGGAGTGAGCAGCCTCTCGGGTTGGTGCTTAACCATTCAAGCCTTTAGGTAGTGCTTGTGCTTGTGTAGCAATTGTGCTTTTATGGTAAGATCATTGACAGTTGCAGTTAAAAGTCACTAAAAGCTGTAAAGTTATAGGCTACTTACACATATAACCCTACTGGGAGAGCCAATGGAGGAGCCTGGTGGAGAGATGGAGGCCTCCGATAGGCGTCTGTGCTGTGAGGTACAAAACGACAAAGAAAAAAAGATAAAAAAAGATAGGGGAGAATACACACAGTGAGGAAATTACAGTTTTCCCTTTATTCAAACATTTTCATTTTAAACTCTATCTCACCCGGAGTCTCCTCTCTGCCCTCGCTGCCTGCTTGCATAATGGGTGCCACACCTCACATCCTGAGGAAGAGCGAGAGAGGGAGAGAAGACTGATTGGCATTGGGTGTTCCCACAAGCCATGCATTCCTCTACATGTGCATGTACTCTACAGTATGTGTGTAAATGTGTGTGTGTGTGTGTCCATGTCAGTGTGTGTATGTAATGGCATCAAGTTTCACCTGTCAGGTACATTTCCTCTCCCTCTTTGAACATCATGTTACAGCGGGAGCATCGAGCGCAGGTCGGATGGTAGTGTTTCCCTCCCGCCTGTGAGGAGAGAAGAAGAAGTGTGACTGAACATAAATTATCATCATAAACAGTTTCACAGAGGGAGGGCTAATCTACAAATTGTGCCCCCACCTTGAGCAGGTCATTATCTCCATATGTTTTCTACTGTATATCACCTGACCACCAATGGCCTCGTAATGTACTGAGACATCATTGCATTGCCTGAAGTTGTTTCATCAGCATACAAGCAATCACATGATAGCCACCACCCATTCTCCTCCATGCCATAATTAGAGCAAAGATCCCTGTAGGTCAGTCACATGAAGTAAAGTAATGGAGTGTGTGTGTGTGTGTGTGTGTGTGTGTGTGTGTGTGTGTGTGTGTGTGTGTGTGTGTGTGTGTGTGTACATGTATGCTACAGAGAAAAATAGGGAAGTAGGTGGCCATGTAAGTGAAGGACACAAGAGCGCAATACATGTCCTTGGACATTGAGAGTGCCCGGAGGGAACACGCCCAAACACACGTGGCGCAGGTGATACGGATACATGAAAAGATGCAGTATGATGTCATTGTGTCCATTAATCCAGTCCGGTTCATGATCCTGATGTTTCTCACATGTCTCTGCAGGGGGGCGATGGCTGAGGCATGGCCCGTCCCATCACCTCTGACTCCCTGACTCAGAGAGGGTCTATTTATAGAACCACATACGGTATCACACATGTGGCCTGTGTCAAGGAGACCTGAACTGTTTCATGTGAACACACCCAGCATATGTGTGTGTGTGTGTGTGTGTGTGAGGTATTAAATCATTTTAGGCTGCACTCACTTTCCCTGATTTTAATAAAACTGATACCTTTTTGTGATCTGCAGGAATTCAGGCCTTTTTTGACGAATGTGCTCTCTCCAAGAGCTGCCAGTGAACAGTATAGTTCCTTAATCGTATCTAAGCTGCATTTGAACCAATCCCTGCTCTGCTTGTCTGTCTCGGGTTACTCTGAAAGGAAAGCCAGGAGAGGATGCAGCATTTCCGTCTTGTGCTTTCCGAGCAGCAGAGCATTTACTGTCTGTGGTCATATGGTATCAGTTTAACAACTGCTGTTACCATTTCTAATGAGGCCCCCATTCTCTCCGGTGGCATTTAATAGGCTGCTATATTTATTGGGGAACTAAGACACTGAGGAAGGAAGGGGAAGGAAAGAAGTGAAACTAAAGAAAGGAGGTATTATGCACCTCTTTCTCCTCCTTCCTGTTTCTCCGCTTCTCCATCTATTCTAAACTACTCATTAAAACTAACAACCACTGGCTCTGGAACGGACTGAAGAGGGGCTCTGAGGAACAACTCTAATCATCTACACAGATGCAAACACAGACAGAGAGAGTAGAGAGAGCAGTATGGCAAAGCAACTCTACCGACAGTGTGATGAAGTGATACTTTAAAACAGATGAATAGATGATTTATTGGCATTTGTGCAAAAAAGATATCACAACAAAAACTAAAGGATAAGACAAACAAATGGACAATTCAACTGATTACTGATTTCGGATCTTATCTTGTCTTATTCAATGACCTGCATGCATCTGCGGAAACACAGCGTTTTGCGTTTCCTCAGAAGACAGTTTAACACTGAAAGTCCGCCTCACACACATACTAGCATGTGCGGATAAATATCAATGGTGGTAAGGTCAGCCGCCATGTTGCCCCGTATGCGGTTTTACAACATGGCTATTCCAGGCGGACACTTTCTGTGTTTACTTTCAGTCAGACTCAGAGACAAGTGTTTGAAATGATTCATTTAAAAACAATGTTATTTGGAAAGTCCTCATTTCCCCAAATCTCTATAACAGAGGTGGCAAATGCAAAATTAGCTTGACCCATAGAGTCACAATGGCTGCATTTGGAAAATATGTTGTAGTTGAAATATACCAGGATTTTTGCTGAAGTAATATCTTAGTCAAAAGACTAACCGTCAAGTGAAGTCAAGTCAATTGTATCTATATTGCCCAATGTCACAAATCACAAATTTGCCTCAAAGGGCTTTACAATCTGTACAGCATACAACACCTCAACACTAATGGAAGAAACCTCATGAAGAGTAACAGAGGAGGGATCCTTCTCTCAGGATGGACAGACATTTTAGATGTCTTGTGTAAAGAATACACCAATGTAAAATTACAGTATGGAAAATCAGGATGATAAAATAATAGATAGATTGATAGATACAACTAAATAAAATCAGGTGACACATTAAATAGAATTGATATCGTATTCTTATCCTAAATGTATACTGTAAGTTTGGGGAGTTAGTGTTCATGGACTTACTGTGAGTCAAGTCAGATGCATGCTGCATCTTAAAGAAGTAAATCATTATGATATCAAAATTTGTCAGGTGAAAAGAATGGAGGTTGTGCGTGCAAGCACACACCAATGTTCAGAGAGTGAGAGAAAGAGACATAGAGAGAGATAAAGGCTGACATGTCCCCATGTCTATAAATAGCCCAGAGAGGCAGATAGTCAGGAACAAAGCACTTTACACCAGCCATTCTGACAAGCAAAGGAGCACAGGGACAACAAGGCACTGTGTGTGTGCGAATGTGTCTGTGCGTGTGTGTCTGACAAAGTTTTACTATGTCTGCTCTCTTACCTCAGGTCCCAGAAGACAAGAGACACTCTCCAGAGACTCTTCCAAAACATTTAATTAGCATCTGCACTTTATCACTTTCATTATTTTCAACCCCACTCCCTTCATTATTTTCTTCTGCCTGTGTCCGCCTCGGCTCTGTCTCCTCCGCTCTCCTCTCTCCACTGTTGACTCCTTTTTCCCTCACTTTTTAAAATTGCTTCAGCGTAAGAGCTTGCAAAGCACAAATGCTTTTCTATCACTGCAGAATTTGCTTTCCATGTCTCTCCTCCTTCCATCTTTTCCCTTCACTCTTTACCCTCTGATCTTTATATAACTCCCCTTTCCTCTCAACTCCTTACACGTTGTTATGATTCAATCTAGCTTTCGCCTCCTGCCTGAGTTCTGCTCAACTGTGCTTAAAGAAGAAACAGCGAACAAGTATGCGCCAACGTTTGACCAGGCTAACATGCTGCAGCTGAATTTGTTTTGGTTTTGTAAAGAAGCAGGACAAAATTCTTATCAACCCCCCCAATCTTAAGTCGCTCACTCCCTAAAGCACAGCGGGGCTTAAAGGGAGCCGAGGATAAAATGCAACTGCTCAATTCTGATAACGCTGATTACACTCAGTTACCACAGTCAGCTCCCAATTTGGATTTCTGTATTTCTGCAGAATTCTGTGCGGCCAAATCTCTGTTAACACAGTCTCATGTTGACATCTGGACCCGTTCTCACCTCCAGAACTCTTCCACTGATGTATCTGCTGCAGGTCTCACATTTCACCCCATACTGGGCGTGGTAATCTGCCTCACAGTATGGCACTCCATCCCTGCAACATAGAGAATAAAAACAAAACTGCTGTAGTAGTGTGTCAAATGCAGGAGAGAAAAAGCCACTGTCTGTTTGTATGTGTTCTTTGAGTGAGACAATCAAATGCTTTGAAATGTTGCGTTTCTCTGTGTTTTTCTCTTCAAACACTCACTTGCTGATGTACTCTCCTGTGAGGACCATGTTGCAAGTCTGACATCTGAAGCAGCTGACGTGCCACTGTTTCTCCAGTGCCAGAAGAGACTGACCCTGCTTGATCTCATCTCCACACCCAGCACAGTCTGGAGAAGAGCAGTGTGTGAAAGAGAGAGAAAGACGAATAGGAAAAGAGATATGGAGAGGGAAGGAGGGAAGCATCGAAGAGAGGAAATTTAGTGCAGAGGGGAAGGAGGGAGAGGAAGAGAGAGAGGAAGACAAAGTGAGCCAAGGTGTAATTGTAGGTCTTTAATACCTACTGTGCTCCTGTGTAGTGTAGTTTTCTACCCGCCTGTGGCACAGCCACCTCCTTAATCAATAGCTGCACTAATGCGGGATATTGCAGAGCTGTGAGGCTTGTTCTCTCAACTGTAAGCACTGTAAAACATGATTGAATGGAGGCAGGAAGCAAGTATCACTGAAATAGCCTCAGGGCAAAAACAGTTGCATAAAATCCCCCTCACATGAAAACACACATTGTACACAAGAATAATGTACATTCCATTTCCCACAGAAAGATGCTCCATCAGATGTTATTGAACACCACTTACAGGGCAAGAAAGACGCAGGACAGTGTGTCAAAATGCTGAAAAAGGTCAGCAGTCCATTTGTTTCCATTTGGAAGACGTTTGGTTTAGTTTAACCTTTTCTGACCCGGTCTACTGCCCCTGAGAGAAGCCTGAAGTCACAAGGGACCACTCCAATCTGCCCTGTCAGCCAAGACAAACTGTGTTTCACAGTAAAAAAAACTGCAGTGTATTGAGTTGGGTTCCTGCAGTCCAAATAAATCTTAACTGTCATTTGGTGGCGATAGTGCTGAGTCTATAGAGCCAGGACTTCAGCCCCAGACTGTTACTGTGCACAGCTGATTTTCTTCTGAGTCATGACACAGATCCCATTTTAGCCACCAAATGAAATTGGTTTTAGACTAATGTAACAGACCTTGTGACAAGAAATGGTTAGGTATGGTTATATAAAAATTCACACATTGGTTCCCGGAATGATTTGCGTAACCACGCCCAATTCAAAACCAATATCAGGAAAGTTTACAAAAACTAAAATTTTTTGATGCTTTATAAACAAAATACCCTAAATTACCTTTTGGGAAATACGCCTACATGCTTTTTTGATGAGAGTTAGATGAGAAGATCAATTCCACTCTATCTGTCCATTCAATATGAAGCTTCAGTCAGCAGGCGGATATCTTAGATTACCATAACAACAGGGAGGAACAGGTAGCCTGTCTCCATCTGAAGGGAACAAAATCCACCTACCAGCACCTCTAAAGCTCAGTATTCAACATGTTATATCTCTAGTTTTGTTAGTTTTGAACAGAGCAAGCAACTGTGCAGAGATAAGCCTGCAGATGCTTCCACTAAGATTTCAAATTGTTGAACAACTGCTTTAAGGAGACTAAAAGGAGGATTAAAACAGACAACTAAAATGTTTATTAAGGTTATAAAGCTAAATTTCTCAGGGTAAGGGTTTGTTCACTGATGTGTAAATAAGCAAATATTCATGGATATTTTCCATTATTTCATGCATGGCCTTCTCCCCTAAAATAATAATTTGAACGGGCTAAATGGATTTCTTCCACTTTGGCACACGGAGCATATATTTGCATACTTAAATATCCAGATTCAAGAAGAACAGGCTGTAAAAGCCAGTGCATTACATTTAGTGCCTGCACTCTGTGTCCCGTCTCATAGACTGCCTCCTCATAAGACAGAGTGATGGACATGTACCTGGGGAGCCATTTGGATTTTATTCTCCTGAATGGAGCGATCTGGGAAAGACAGTTATTCACTGCCTCCCCACCATCTGTTATTACTGCACAGCCAGTGAGCAGCAGCCTGCTGTCTGTATGCCACACTTAACAAATGATTCGCTATCCATCACTATTGCTTTATTGTGGGTTCATAATTTGTCATTTTCCTGCTTTATATCGAAAAGGAGAGAGCTATGCACTCTTCCCACATATACCTGTCCTATAATGGCAGCTCATTATTTACCTACAGTATGTAACGGCAATGTAGCACTTGTGTGAAAGATGTACAGTAGGCTATGTGCTCATGCAGGAGTACAGTGAATACACAATATCCTCTATTCTCTGCATGTTGACAGTAATGAATGAATGATGTGTCTGTTTGCGTTGCATAATTCTCAGCTGGCAAATCAGCACGACAGGTTGGACCACAGATCTGACAGACACTTGATTAGCTAAATGAGCTAAATGGGCCTCGTGGACACATCGTATTAGACTCGACAGCACCGCAACGCCTGGTGGCCCTAAACAGAACGGACAGAGCGAGGCGGACGCTGGACTTACGGCTTGGCCCGTGGATCTTGATCGGTTCATTTGACTTGACGAGTGTATGAGAGCACTGCTGGCACACGCAGTCCTTTCCACTGAATGTCACTCTGTCTCCGATCGGAAAGGGTTTACTGAGGAGGGGAAAAAAAAGAGAGAGAGAGAGAGAGAGAGAGAGAGAGAGAGAGAGAGAATCAGAAAACAAGCACACAATAGGAGATAAAAATGCCTGCAGTGATTCTGTGTGTTTACATTACATCCAAGTGTACACATGGAAATAGCAAATGGGTGGTGGCAGGAACATGATTAGGTGACAGACAAGCCATAATCCTGCTGACACAAGCTAAATACAGTCTGACATCCTCTATGAACCTGAAAGTACATTTCCAAACAGTTGGGGCGGCGAGTTAATAGGACGTTGATTGTTGCAGGAGCACCTGGCTGCTCTGTGATTAAAGAGGCGATAATGTGACGCTGCCACAGGCTTCTAAAAGGAAAACTGGCTCTCTCAGTGAGAATGAAAACTTATTAGGGAGACTGTGTGGAGTGCATACTGATCCTAACTGCCTCTTTCTCTCTCAGTCTGTCCGCCCAGCTCTCTCTGCCCCAGCTCACTCCGTACACAGCTGGTGCCACCAGGTCACTATTATCTTCACTGCTTTAAAGTTAAACGATTAAATATACACACGCAGACAAGCAGAGAACATGGCAGCAAGACATCGCCTAGGAAGTCAAATTTACCATATCTCACATATCATGTCTCGCCCCTGTTCCCTCTTCTATAGTATTTGCGTAGCGACAGATTGATTTCTTTAGGACGTGAGAATGAATGGGAAGCTAAAAGGCTTAGGGAAGGCTGTTTAAAAGACATAGACGGCGGTAATCCTTTTACTCCCCCGCCGAGGCCTGGAGCTGGAGCCAAGACCCAGAGGGAGGCTTGAGTCTCCAGCAGAGCTCACAGTCAGCACACAAGAGTGTAGCACATCCATGTATGCACTTAAGAGATGTACAGAGGCAAGCATGAATAAAGGCTTGTGCAGTATAAGTTTACACGCAGCTATGGAGGTTGTGAGCCCTCTAACGTGTGTTTCTAGGGAGCTAGGAGTATTTTACAACTGTTTCTGTCAGTAAAGTGGCACATACAGTGTTCTAGGTTTGCTCCTTTGTGCTTTTATATTATTCAAAGAAGGACAACATCCATACATAAAACAGAAAGGACATAAAGTAAGCAGAACATATAAACTGGCAGGGTCATTTCACCATGCAAATTATTCAACAAAGGCTCTGGTAAACACTGAAAGGGACACAAGTCAATGACAATTGATAAAACGTATAATTCATTTGGACTTTATTTTAATTTCACCCTTCAGTTGGTCCCAAGGTTAACCATCTGTTCGAAAATAATTTTCTATTTCTAATTTAACTGACAGGCCACACTGAGCAAAACATGGAAAACTAGAAAAGTCTGTATTTGACACACAAGGCCGGTTTTCAAGGTTTGTATCTGTGTCCAGCTCCAAGCATGACAATCTTTCACATGTATTAAAGTGCCTGACCATTAGTAGACTAGTCTATAGTCCAACTTGTGCACAGGAAATTCTGTGATGGTGAAGAAGGGTGTGTTTGACCTTGTCTTTACCTGTGCGTTGCTCTCACTCCCTCAAGACATTCTTGCCTTGTCAGCCTTTCTCAGCACTTTAAAAATTTACTCTGTTTACATATTTAATGCATGTTTTTTTTTTTTAACTGGCCACAGAAGTAAAGCTATTTCTGGCTTCAGGGCATGAACTCTGGCTTTGATCACCAGCTTTTTTACAAAACATCAGCAAGGAAAAGTGAAACTTGCAGTCTGGTTTCATTAGAGATGATGAAGACATAAAGGAAGATTATGTGATGTGGATGATGATTAAGAGCAGGAAGATGATGACGGTGATGATGAGAATGAGGAGGACGAGGAGACAGAGAAGGAGGAGGGGAGTTTGGAGGAGACAGACAGGAGGGGATAGAGGATGGGGAGAAATAAAGGAGGTACATGAAAAGACTGTGAGCAATGTGACAGAGGGCAGACGGAGCAGGAAAGAAGAGATTCACCCTTCGGCTTCTCGCTGTCTCTTCCAGTTGACTCCACATACACTGACATACACACACACACACAGACATCCCTGTCACTGCCAGGACTGCTCCACTGGCTGTCTCCGGCCAGTTGGTGTCAGTTCAGTTTTTCTGCCCACGGCTGCTGGGCATGGCCGCATGTTTATCAGCCAATGTCAAGCAGATACAGGACAACAGACAAACACCACCCTCCTGGAGGGAGGTGAAGAAAGACAGCTCTTATGTAAACCTTATAACACGTCAAAAAAGACAGGGAAGAAAGTAAGAACGATATGCAGACATACCATGCGAAGAAGAAGGGGCTTTTTAAGAACAGAACATGAAAGAGATAGAGAGGACAAGAGGATCGAAATGGTAAAATAAAAAAGAGGAAAGGAGCCAACAGGGCTTCTGACTCTTAGATTGTTCAGGAGCTTAACATGAACACTGATGGAGGTCAGAGGAGAGATGGCCTACTTTTACTAAATCTAACAGCGTGAAACTCCAGGTCAGCTCTCTTTTTGGAATCGTGTCTCGACTAAGCAAAAAGACAGACGGCTTGTGCTTGCCAATCAGACATTTATTGACATTCTCGAGCTGAGATAAGACTGAATCATGAGCTCAGTCTGGCATTATTCAACGCACAATAAAGAGATGAGTCACCTTTGCGTTTCTTAAATTAAAAGATGCAACTTGTGTAGTATCATTTGAGGAAGGATTGCATGGTCATGGGGCAGAAAACAGTGACTCATGGTAGAGAAAGATAACAGTCATACATTTCTTATTCAGTAGCTCCACAATTCCTCCTTCTGTTCTCAGTCTTCCCCTCTATCGTGCTATTTTCTAACAGTCTATTTTCACGGGGGAATCATAAGTTCTGTGCTATATCAGAGTACTGAACAGATACAGAACAGAACAGAAAAATAAGTGGTGAACTCATGCACAGCACGCACACAGTTATCATACAATATGTTGCCTGTTATGTTTAAGTAGCAAGGGTAAGTGTGGGCTACTTAAAGTAGGCATTATGTGTAAAATCCTTTATCATATATTGTGATATCAATGCATATTGTGAGATAATAGATTTTCTGAAAAACATCAGAACGGAACAAGAAATCTGTTTGAGGATAAAAAAACACACTGCATTTTTGTTTTTGGCTAATCCTGCATTTTAAATCTCTATTAATCAATATTCCTATTGTATAATATGAAAGGTGTCGCCTGTTGTGACAAACTCACAGAGAATTATCGCCCAACTGCAGTTCCTCTAAGCTAAGTTCCTAACTGTGCTGTTTTGTTCACTCTCACCGCTATCATCAACCCTGTTTGCACCCACAGCAGGCAGCTGCTTTCAGCAAAAAGCTCTGACAAACCCATGGTACGCTAACTGCCTGGCACCAAACAGCCAGCGACTTGTTGGCGAACACACTAAAAGGAGAGTGAATATTGCACTTCCATTTGTTGGGTGGCCAGAAACCCAACTCCATATCCAAATGTTAAGACTGCTCTGTGTTTGCTGGATGTGAAAATAGGAAACTATTTGCTGATCCAATTTTTCAAGTTGATAATATCAGTGTTGTGTTAACAGCTTTTTGCACTACCCTCAAGTGGCCAAAAAACAAATGTATGCAGGTTTAAATAGCTGACAAATCAACATACTTTATCACATTGTTTCAAAAATCGTATAATAATCCAATTTACCACCCTCTTGATTTATGGCAATAAAACCTGAGGTATTAAAAGATAGTAGTATATGTACCAAAAATGACGGTTTGAAATCGTCTTACAGTATACTGTAAGACTGCCAAATGGCAGACAGAAACGAGCTGGTGAACATAGTGGCATTTAGCAACTTAAGAGCTAGATAATGTTTGTCAGGGGCTGGTAGAGACCAAAACAAAGCTAAAAGAAGAGTAAATATTGCATTTATTTTTGCCAGGTGATCAAAAACACAACTCCAAATCAATAATTTTGCTATATAATTACCCAACCATATGTGTTACCTTGCTTATACTGTACAGTAGGGGGTTGTGTGTCCATTGTGTGTGTGTGCATGTATACCTGCAGATGCTGCAGACAAAGCACTTGGGGTGGTACGTGCGTCCCAGAGCGGAGACCACCTCTCCTGTGATGAAGCTGTCACAGCGGTCACAGCGTGTACCGTACAGGCGTTGATAGTCTGCCGTACAGATGTACTCGCCCTTCTTCTGGAAGAAGCCGGATCGCGCCAGATCACAGTTACACACTGTGGCGAGAGCAGGTGAGACAAAGTGAGAAATCAGGACACTAAAAACACTCAAGCATATGGAATAACCTGTGGATAAAGACAGCAACAGATGTTAACAATATTTAATGCTATTTTGGCTTCCCATCTAAAAAAAAAAAACACTGGGGTTTTCATTATCTGTCATACGCTGGTAAAATCAAATTAAACAACACACTTGCATATTTAAGAGTTTTACAAGTCCCATTTTTCTTTTCCATGTTTTGTTCCATTACACATTACAGTCTGAGCCTCTTCCTGTTACCTGTTTGTGTGTGCATGTGTGCTTGTTTGTGCTGTGTTTGTCTTCACACATGACTGCTAGTGAAGTTATTCAGCTCCAGACAGTGGTGAGCCAATTTTCTCTGATGGGAATATAATGATATAATCAGTGGAAAAGTAATTTTGTGCTAAACAATGTGAAGGAGACAAAACAACAGGCCACGAGTTCCCAGCATCATCAGTAAATCGACTACAGTCTCATTAAATACCAATGGGGAAGACACCAAAATCATTTGCTGTGTATGCACAAGGTGAGTGCTCAGTTTGTGTGGGTATGTGTGTCTCTATATTGTGCATCCTAAGCAGACAATATGTGCTACAAGACTTTGCCATGTATCTGAGAGTGAATTCCAGTGGGTGAAACTATATAGCTAAGAGGCATTCTCACAGATCAGTGGCCATTGTGGTTACTGGTCTCTGGTTTCTCACAGTCTATGCGGCTTACCAACAGGAAGAGCTGACAGTTATTGTAACCTCCGGCTGCAAAAAATGCTGTGACCTGACACACATGGCACTGATGAAGGTCACATGTGGTGTAAAACAAATCCAGATTTCCACCTTTTTCAAAAAGGTAACAAAGTCCACCTAACCCAACCTCTCTTACTATGCCTTTAATGCCACTCCCTGCATCAAGATCTACTACAGGACAATAAAAAAAAGCTTCCCTAGCACCCTCTCTGCATACCAGTCCAACACAATAATTTGTACTCAACACAGAGACTCTAAATGATTCCTAAAAGATGAATGGACATCTGGTTTTCTTAGACACGAAGAGCAGTTTCTCAGTGTACAAACCCTCAGATCCTTCTGAAGGGCCTGGAGCTTTGGTGAAACCTGACGGAAGTATTTATATTTGACCAAAGCTGAGTCTGTAAGTTTTCTCCACTGCTTTAATCAAATTCTTTCCTAAAATCTGTAATTGATCTGAATGTAGTGGGCTTTCAAAAAAACAAAAGATACATGCAACAATATTATACATATACAGCAGTCAAATCACTGACCTTTATCACAGCATAAAAAAATAGAAAATATAAGCTACGTGGAAAAACTGCTAATCATGAGGTTAACAATATCAAGTGCAACTGCTAAAAACTGCTTGTTTGCTGCACAATGCTAGGAAATGAAGGTACATTGTGCCACAGTAAATAAAGCAGTAAATATTTTAAATCATTCAGCTTGTGGTGGTAATGAAGCTCCTTGAATACCAACAACTTGCTGTTAATAAATTGCTTCACCCTGGCCGGGCTATAGACATTGGAGTTGCTGCAACAGGCTAAATCTGGCTCCCTATAGCCACCAGTTTTCAGTGTATGCTGGCAGGCTAAGAGTTCGCAGACACACACACATGCACATAAACCCTTCAAAGGGGCTCATTTAATCTCAAGCTGTTTATGAGTGGAGCGTATTGACTTAATGGTGTAATAAAAGATCAATGGGCCCTCACTTAAAAACAAAACAATCTTGGCTCCCACAGGAGGATGGAAACACATAAATCCATCCCCGATGAGATGGCACTGCGCGTATGCAGAGATGATGAAATGGGACAATGTGTGTATGGTGAGATATGATGATGGATCTTTATCATTGCGACAGGTCATTGGCATCAGGGCAAGGCGGCTGCAGAAGCGCAGACGGGAGGAAAGCTAAGAATGAAGGAAAAGGGGATGCATGAGGAAGACCAGAACTAAGATTTAAAATAGTCTGTTTATAAAACTGTGTGTGTGTGTGTGTGTGTGTGTGTATGCAAACCACATTTCCAGAACCACTGAACAATGGCACAGAGCTTCAAAAAAGTCAATGTGTGCAAGTCAAAAAACCAGACTAACTAAGGCTCATACCAGAAACCCAAATCACAGGCTATCTGATGCCTTCATGGAAAAGGGGAATGGGAGAGTAAATATTTCCACATTTACTAAATGCTTCATAATGGAAAAAGAAATATCTATGTGATTTGAAATGGTCCATTACATTAATTTAATAAAAACGTTTTTAATCTTCTAAAACTAAACCGTAGTAGAAATTTGCCTCCTTTTTTTCTCCTCTCTTTCTCGCCCCCTTCTCCCTGCCTCTGTTTCTTTCAAAATGATTTGCTTTTCAATCTGCGCCCAGATTGATTTTCAAATTACTGGAATCTGCTCAATTAGCCTAATGCACTTCATTAGCATATGGACGCCTGACCAAATTACAGCCAGCCGACTGGATCTGCTCAGACTGGATTGGATGGGCTGGCTGGATGTTTCACCTGTTCTGGCTAATCACATTGTTTTCCTCTGACTGGACGATTGGCTGGATGCATTGGAAAGGACATCCCCCTTCCTCAGTTGCCATAGGAGACGTAAACCCTTCCACAGTTGCCCTAGAGACAGCTAGGTCCCTAGTCTGAATGATGTGGTGGTGCTGGTGGTGGCACATTTGGTTTTGTTGTGGTTAAACTGGTGCTGTATACAAAATGTATTCAGAAATTATACTGTAACTTTAAATCAGTTTGATACCTGCTGTGATGGCAAAAACATTTAACTACAACATTACAATCAAGTTTTCATTTAAAGTTGATTAAACTAAATGGTTATCTTTAATTTGTTAAGTGTTCTGACCTGCAACAATGAACGATTTATCAAAGCCGATTAAAGGCACCATCAGTAAATAATAGACCATGTAAACTCCATGTAAAGGTATATTTACATGTACTGTATGTTACAAGTATATTGAATTGTAGATGGAAATTCAAATTTAGGCCTGATTTACTGCTCGGTTTGCAGACATCACAACCTCTCACTTCAGCAAGTAAACACATACAGACTCACACACCCACACACGCACACACACACACACACACACACACACACACACACACACACACACACACACACACCATAAACACTTAATTTCAGGCAGCTGTCCAAAGAAAACAGTGTATCTCCAAGTGTTTCTTTATTAGTTGAGAAATTATCCTACTTTTAAAGCTAAAATTCCATCTTATTATCTAAAAAAGGCAATGCAGACAAAGGCTGTTTTTACAAGTTCATGAAAATCGTTATATAAATCATTCGAGACACATGGTGTTAACAGGACAGCCATTTGTTTTCTAACTACAACTATTCGCTTTGTTACCTTCAACTGATGAATCAGATTGAATAACTTTGACTTTTACAGTTTACCTTTGGAATGACAAGTATAACTTACAAGTACAATGACAAAGTCGAAGGAATCTAAATTTCCACCTGTTAAAAGGCACCTTGACAGATCCAGCTTTTAGATCTTTGAAAAGGGACCATTCCTTAAACCCTTTTTAAAAAGCCAAACATTTTTTACAACCTACTAACAAGCTGGCCCTCTACTTTTCAAGTTCTCTCATTTTAGCTGTAACCATTAAGCATAAGTTTCAAATGTATCCCTCCACATGTTGCAGTTGCCAGCACAGCGGGTGGAGTTGGGTCAGAGCTTGGTGTCTCTGCTGCTGCAGGCTTAGCTTAGCCCCGAGAAGAAAGGCTTTGGTTACAGCCGCACAACCAGGACCACATGATAAAAACAACAGCCCAATTCAACCAACATAGACCCAGCCTGGTCTGTTTCAATGTCCTAGGAATGGCCTTTGGAGATTTATACTCTAGCTACTCCTGGGAAAGTGCACACAGTTGCAGTTGAAACTCATAGTTATGAAGAACTCCAAAGTTAATGAAAAGTTTTGTTTATATGTATATAACTATGTATTATTTTACCACGACATATTCAGATTCATCACACATTAGCTAAAACCAAACATAATCAGCTTTGCAAGACTAGATCAAAGACTTCATTTCATCTATTTGCTCATTTTCTGATCTTTCCCTGAATGGCGCTCTAATGAGGGAAACTAAAAGATGCTCTCCTTCATATTGCTCTTTTTTGGCAATGCAGGAAGTTAGCATCTAAAGAGCATAAGTCTAGTGATTAGAGGTTAGCATGTAGGCTGGAGTCTGCAGCTGTGGTCATTAGAACCGCAGTGATTAGGCATCCACAGGGGGTCCGCATGATTGGGTATTTATCTCCAGCCAACAGACGCAATTAAAATTCCCTTCCTCAAAGTCGGCCCAGGCCGGAACCCCAAAATAGTGCTGACACCCCCCACTCCTCCACTTCTCTGTCTCTGTCTTTCCGTTTCACGACTGCTTCCAAATCTTTGTGGCTCCGAGCACAAGGTCTCCACTTTATCTCAATTTGCACCTTCTTTTCTCACTACAAGACCGGACCTCCATGCAATCTTCCCTTTCTTTCTCTCCCCCATTCCCCCGCGGTCTCTCTCCGTCTCTTCCCTGAGCTAATTATATTACTGTTGGGTCTACATAATGTGCTATTAAGTAAATGGACATGCTTTACAGTATGTCAAAGTAGCCCACACATTTTAATTGTTTTACTGCTGCTGTCAACATTATGCTAAATTCCAAGGCTTTTTCAAGCTGATAGCCGCAGCCACAGTTTAGCAGAGAGGCATGTATGTAGTGGGGCAGTGACAAATTCCAGCAGGGGAGGTACTCACCTATTCACCCCCACATCTGTGCTACCAATGTGAGGCCCAGCCTCCTCTGCCCTCCTCCTGTCCCCTGGATCAGAGCCCTCTGACAGGCGGAAACACTTCAAGAGTAAATAATGTGTTTTTCTCAAGTTGTGCCAAATCGCAGGCTGGGAGAGGAGGCCGTCAGACACACAGGAAGAGGAGTGAA